AAGGCAGCGGTTGTATCGCCAAGTAGCAATCAATCTGTGCATTTGCTCCAGCGGCACAGTGTTACAAACAGGACTCTTTCACCAAGGGCAAAGTCTAACGACTGGCCCTACAGTTGCCAGCATCGTGCAGCCGTGAATGAGTAACTTGTCCGAACGCTTTTATGCTTTCGTCTGTGTACAGTGACAAAATGACTCGCTGAATGCGAAATGCCGTACAGTAAACTACAGTAGAGTCTCATTAATTCAAACTCCAGGAAGTCACAGATTTTAGTTTGAATTATCAGAAATTCATCCAAATATGATACTGGACAGCATTATGATTTGTTACATGGATAGCTACTCATACAAAGCAGATTTTTGCCAGTTTCCTCTACATAGGCCTAATTATAAGCAAGTACAGGCATAACACATTAGTGAAAGAGCTGTGACATTGAGTTTATTCATCCGGCAAAAAATTTGTCGATTGTGGACTGTTTAGTCAGCACATACAGTCTCAAAATAAAATTTTCAATACCAGCCAATGCAAGTAGCTCTTTACGGGACTCTTCCTTTGCAGACAGAAACTTCCGGAGCTGAGCGATGTGCTCAAAGCTATGGCTGTGACAGTTGGTAGCAAGTCATCCCTTTCTTCATTGTCATCTTCACTCTCACTGCTGCACTGTGCTGGCATTACTTCCTGTACTATGTCCTCTAATGAGTCATCACGACAAACACACACATCATCGTCAAGACTAGCATATTCCGCCTGCTCGGCGTTCACATTATGTGCTTCAAGGCCAGAAAGCATGATGCCAGTGAGCTGGTCCTCATCCTCGATGTCGTCTTGGTCATCATTGCTAGTCTTGAAGCACATAATGTGAACGCTGTTTTCCGCTAATGTGTTCCCGCTTGAGCCCCGTTGAGTGTGCTTCTTTATGAGCACCGGTGCACTGCAGAGAAAGAACACTCATGAAAGCACGCTCCGCAGGTATTGCTTCTCTGCGCTGCACCGGTGCTCGGAGAGAAGCATACTCAACAGGGCTGCGAGTACAAAAGTATGAATTAAAGGAGTCATGAAACGCTTTTCCAACTTTTTCCTGTTTAGCTTTCCTCTTCAACTCATAAATCGCGCATTCTACCAAACAGTTCAAGAAGATGGAAACGGGGCAGTCCCCTCTTGCTCGGAGTCTTGTTTGAGTACCGGGACACAGCCATTGTCCCCCTAAAAGATTAGCCCGTCGCTCAAAATTCAGACAAAAGTTGCTTTCCCCACCTCAATCACCCCGAAGCTGACAGTGCTGCGGAAGCTACGTGCTCGTTGGGCCAGCCACATTTTTGCCACGTGATCACGCTCTCTCGCGCATACCCACGCGCAGAGAATGAGGTCAGGTGATGAAAGGGAGGCGGCTGATTGTCCGACAAGCACGTAGCTTCCACCACAATGTCAGCTTAGGGGTGAAGGGATTAAGTGAGGTCCGGTGCCGTGTGACGTGCGTTTGGACCTGGTGACGCGCTGGGGGGGGGGGGGGGGGGGGCTTTGCAACGCGCTACGGGGACCGCGGATGTATCACAGTGAAAAGGCAGAGAGATTATGAAGGAAAGGAGTTACGAAATAGTCCCTTGTGTTTTCGAATTTTCGTACCGAAAGTCAGGCTTTTGACTTTCTACCTTTTTTCTTTTGGCCCACTGAACGATGTGTTATTAGTAAAATCCCAATATAAATTGATTTATTCCAGCCAAAATTTGTCTCATGGGCCCTTTAAGCGAAAACGCCGTTTGAATTAAGTGGCTTATAAATACATTAAAAACATAGCGGGACAACCAAAATTTTCAAGTCTGTTTGAATGAACCGGAAGTACGAAATATCAGTTTGAATTATCACAAACCTATTGTATCAATTACTTTCTGCAGCAACTTTGCGCTTAAAATTGCAATAAAGTGATTTTTAGGCTAAATTCATTTTTCTGGACTGCTCGATTATTCTGAGCTTTGTGCGACCCCTTCATGTTCCGAAATATTGGTCAGTGACTGTAAAACTTAAACACGATGGTTACACACCACAGGTCCCGAGGACCATGACATCAATGAGCTGGCTTTCACCTTGTTCAAGGCAGCAGCAGAACACTATGGGCGGGACCCTGGGTCGACGCACCGGCCGGCTCATGGATGCCGTCCTGTACCCTGCACGGCACTGCGTGTGGCTTAACTGGCCAAGCAGAGGGTCATCGCATGGCTTTTATGAGGCGTCGCTAGCCATTGTAAGTATATTTTTTGACGCTCATGTCTGGTGATGTACTTTGGTGCTGTACAACGGAACACATTTGGTGGCAGTTCAGTCTTGCCAATTAGGCCATTTTGAAACGAAACACATTTAGTGGTGGCTGGGTTAGGTTTCCTGGCTCGGCAATCTTGCAGCAGTGTCTAGACTCGGCACAAACCTTTTTTTACTTGGCATTGACTGCGCTGATGATTGCGCCTCCCGCCGCATGCTAGAGTTGGCAGATTTCGGCCACTTGGCTCACTTGAAGGTTTGCTGGCCAGTTTAATAAATATATAGGAGGAATTAGATCGTAATATTTGACATGGGGTCTTCCTATATGATACTGAAGAGGGCTACATAGTTTTCTAAATATCAAAAATGAAGCGGAGTTGCCCTTTAACACACGCACTAATATACATTACTCCGAAACCTTCACAGAACCCCCAACGATCGACGATTTGGAAGAATACGAAACTACATCGACAACACCTTACACTTAAAACGGATAACCTAATCTGTGAAATGCATGTTTGCTACCCGGACAAAAAGTTCCGCCTCGTATGGACGCCTGGCCACCAATGCGTGGAGGGTAATGAGACAGCCCATCGTCTCACCCTCGAGAACTCCCCGGGTCCCGTCTCTTCATGGCCAGCTATCTACTCGGTAGGCGCAACAAGGAACGCTCGCAGAGCCCTGCGGAAGTCGAGGTTAAAAGAACAACGTGAAGAGCGGACCATTTACCCTCACCCTCCAAAGACCATGTCTAGGCAACAATCCTCCCTCGTCAGGCAAGCCCAGACCAACTCTCTTTCATCGCACTACATCTTCCACCACATCTACAAACGACCCGACTCCCCCACCTGCCCAAAATGCGAAGAATACCCTTCCATCCCTCATACCTACTGGTCTCGTAACCCTCCCACCCTTCCCCCAACCCCCTCACACATCATTTCTTGGGAGGAATGGCTGGCTCTACCCATGGGCACCGACATACCCACCGCACTAGAAGCACTAATTAATCACTCCAGTCCCCTTGCGGAATCCATCCGCGAGACGTGCGCCGGACGGACCGTCCGGACCAGGACGTAGGCCCTTACACAAAGTAAAGTTTTGCTTGCTTGCTTGCGGTGCAAAATAAGTGGATTCGGTGACACTTCAGTTACGACGAATAACGTATTCAAATAAGCTCACCTGTCGCGATGCCTTTACGCTGTTACAGATACAGTACGCCGCCAATGACAAACGACTTGGCGGATGGGCGGGATGGCTGCAACGGCTGCTGGCGGTAGCTGCCGGGACACGTGGGCAGTCGCAAAGGTGCAACGAGAAAGCGCGTGATTTGTACCGAGGGTTCTCGAAATTCCCTGCCGACGTGGCGCTGTACGTTTTGCAAGGGGTCTATTCTTCCGCTCTTCGCCTCTCCGGTTTTACCTTGCAAAGTCGTGACAGTGTCTGCTTTATTTTTTTGCGGTATTTCCCGTGTGTCGACGTGTGCAATATTTCCCGTGTGCCGACATATTTTTTAAACTGACGTTCGCTCAAGTGAGCGTTTACTGTATACTCGACTACTGTGCGTTGCCCCAGAGCCTTAAATGTAGAGAGTTTGGCCATTCGTTGGGAAGTATAGGAGACAAATGAGGAGGCGCCATTGGCCGAAAGCGGACTGGGCGTGTTCCAGGGCGTCTTCAGAAATTTGAATGTGACCAACCAGAACCCGGAAATAATACCCTGGCGGTGGTCGCAAGAAACAAACCTGATAACTGCATTGGAGTAACTCTCAATGGCTGAAAATATGGTACACGTGATGTTTCAATCACGTTAATCCAAAAAGATGGTGTAAGAGTGCGACTAGCGGAACGATCGACATAATCCGTACGCCAAGCGCCGAGGGCCGGGAATCTGCCGTCCGAGCGGTCACACTCTGTCCGAGCAAAACAGAGTTGAGCGGCGCATTCGTTTCTTACATCTTTCTGCATGATCATAATCAAAACAACACGTGCACCCTATTTTCAACCACGAAGAGTTACTACACTTCACTTTTACGCGCTTATTAAAGCCATATACGAACATAGACTTTTGATCAGAACTGTTTGCCGCTACCACCGCTAGGGGATTCTTTTCGGCTTCTGGTTGGTCAAGAGAGCATGTAAAGCCCTCTTTCCGACTCTGCCGCACGCCCCGACTCTGCCAGCGCCTCCCATTGACCAAACTCTCTACATGTACGGCTTTGCGTTGCCCTACATGTTCGGATAACATACTGTTTCTGTTCACCCGGTAAGCACTTTCATTCTCTACATATACCGTAGGTTGAAAATGCCCTGAATCATAGATCAAGCCTTGCAAGATGGAACTTCTCTTTAGGCCCAGTGCCTGGATCAAGTCTTGTCCCCCATCCCCTCAGGTCTTTCTGTCATATAAATTGTTGGTATTTCTTAAGACAGTGCGCATTGCCTGCCGACCACATCTTACAGTCGAATCTTGTTAGTTTGAACCCGAGGGGGACCAAAACATTGTACGAGTTTAAATTACCGGAAGTTTCCTTTCTAGAAACATATAGGATGGGACCTGCATGTTAGCTTGAATTATTTGCGAGTTTGAATTAAGAGGGCTTGAACTAATGAGATTCCACTGTACAAAGAGTGTGGTTAATCCAAGGTTCAGATTACTCTGAAATATGTCGGGTGATTACTGAAAGGTTAAGATACAAAAATATTGGTAGAAAGGAAATGAATCTCCTCAGTTTTTAATTTTTCTTGCCACTATGTCTGAAGTTTTTCAGAAGATCATGGCATCGGTTTTCACCCATTTACACTTGGAAAGAAATGCTACCGGCAATAAGGGCTACGAAGTTTTCTTTGTGTTTGAAGTTATGTACGCTAGTGTGTATCACTTGTTTCTCTTGTGCTACCTTTGCGCAAGCTTGCCGGCGTGCTTGCCCGGCAAGTGAGTAAGAGCTAAACTCAACTGGACGTGGTGTGCTATCTTTTACACAAACTCGGTACTGTATTCCTATAGACCTTTTCATCTCGGCAGTTACCTGACTGGTGGACACGGGACATTGACACACATGGTGCCATAGAATGGTTTTAGTTTGGATGGACTTTGGTTTCAGCGGGCTCGCGGCTTTGTTATGTGCGATAAGAGACAAACCCGCCAAATGAAGTCTTGTCTTCTAGTATATAATTTGTGAAATAAAATTAAATCGTGCAAGAGAATTGGGCCTCCAGCAAGCTTGGCTCAGTCAAATGCCAGGTACCCCTTCATGGATTTGTGTAGACAGATGTTATTTGTTTGAACATGTACTAATGATTCAAAACTATCAATAAATTGACTATCAATACTATTGATAGTTTTGCACCACTAGAGCGGACACAAATGCCGCACCGCCGCTCACCTCCCTTCCTCCTCTCCGCCCAAACTCCGATCTTCATCATCACTGAAAGTTGAACCAAGTTGGGATGGTAAGTGCTTGGGCTAGTTGGTGTCCCATTTGAAAAAATAAAGAGAAAAAGAAGACAGCGACGCAAACTACTAGTGTCGCAAGACTATCAATAGTAAACCGTTGACAGTACTATCGATAGGTTTACGATAGTAGACTATCGATAGTACTATCCATAGCTTTTCGACAGTCGACTATTGATAGTAGTGTCTAGTTTTTCGATATTCGACTATCGATAGTTTTTTTGCTATCATGTCAGATTTCTGGCTACTTTCGCTACTATTGATAGTTTTGCATCACTAACAGGTACGCTCTTTCAGCGGCGTCGAGGGTGAATCCGGCATCGACATCGCTGCACCCGAGTGATTTCCATGATGATGGTCTCTTTTCAGCGTCGTGCATTATGTGCCTCGGGCACTTTTGCCAGGCACTCAAGTTTTCTTCGACACGTTTTTCACCCCGGGAGGCAACCCTGTGTGTCTAAATAAATTATTTGTAGTTTATTTAAATTCATAAATAGATCAAACAAATGTTTCTACTACAATCATGATTCCGCCATATAATCAAAAGTAACTTTTGGATTCGTTATGAAGGCAAAGCACGATGCTTTCAAGAAACAGTGACTACTTGCATTGTCTATATTTGCAGTCTTCTTTAAGATCGTAAATGTGTAAATATACCTTGTGCTTCTTATTGCACAACTAACACTTAAGCAAATTTCCAGTGTCATAAATAATTGGCCTCTCAACCCTTGTCTGACTTGGGGACCTCTCCATACTCTATGTGCGCCAGTGCTAAAGCTGATTCCTTTCCCCGACGGTGCATATATAACATAATGTGCAGAAGTTGCACGCATAATGATGGTATGCAGTTAGGTAGTAAATATAAGTATCAGACAACACTTCACAAAGCAAGACAAAATAAAAAAATTGGGGCTCCTATTCACACTGTAAAGACAGTTAGTTGGCCAGCGAAGCTGTGGTATCACCTGCAACGATTGCCCACCGGACTATACCAAAACGTTTTTTGTAAAGACCCTTTTCTTTGCAAATGCCACCAGGCGGTGCTCCAGTTTGTTGTCCCAGCGAACTTCCGATTCACAGAAAGAATGAACAAAACCCACCTTGACACAGCTGCCTGAAATGTCGATGAAATGTTTAACCACCAATTCTTCAGGTGAACGCCAAAAAAAAAAAAACGAAGAAATGGGAGATGCTGTAAACGACTTATTTTTTGCGGGCTCAATATTTCGCAATTCACGTTAAAGCTGAAGTTTTGGAATAATTCGCGGGTTCTAATTTTCGCGATGCGGTGGAATCTCAATATAGATTCCAATGTATTTACGTTTTACCAGAATCGTTCGCGTGACCTATTTTTTACGAAATGTAGGCGGTTTGCAAAATTTAAGTCCTTTACAGTATGTTAATAAGTTTTGAATATTTTGTAAACAAACTTTCCTCCTCCAAGACATTAAATTGTACAGCCGAATGCCCTCATTAAATCTCCAACCTTGTTGTCCGTGTAGCATTTATCCTTTCTAGCATGGGTGACATAAGCAAGCTCGACAGACTTGCAAAAACTGTGCGATCAGAAGTCGCTTGATTCGCAAGCAGCAATTCATGTTCGTAAACAGCGAAAGAGCCTATGTGAAAGACTGTATGGTGCCGTTACCACGGCAACTTATGAAACCGCAATTTTTACCGAGAGACGCATGCGGGGAGCACTATGTGTTTCGCATTGTGCACGCCTAATCTATCATGTGGTTCCGACACTTGTGGTTTTCTTATTGAAAACTACAAGTGTCAAAACTACACGATAGAAGACAAGGAGCGCACAATGCTTTTCTGTCCACTACTGTTCTGTTGACAGACACAAAAGAAAACTTACCAACGTGTCAGATACAGCTTCGCTGTAAAATTGCAGTAAAACTCGACGAAAAAACGAATGCAACGTGTTCGGGAAGGGGAGGGAGGAGCGACGATTTGAAGCCACCTTATGGCGGCTATGTGACGTGATTTTAAGATGGCAGCACCCATGTGACGGGGTGAAAAAATATAGAATTTAAAAAATAAATTGAAGGGATGCCATAAAACCACTTGCAGGGAGGATTGAATAGCTTGGGAGCCCAAGCTACTGTTGCATTGGTAGGAGACTACATTTGGAAGATGGAGTGGCGGTAGCTGGCTTCAATCGCTGTGTTGGCATGTGCATCTGTTGACATTTGGTGACCATAGCAAGCAGAATTTATTGTCCATGAGGAGACTGGTGTGGCGAGATCAGGTACATGCTTGTGCTCTTTTGCAGTGCTTTTCAATAAGGCCGCAGGACATGAACATAGAGTAGAGTTCTCAATAAGGACAATGTGGATGGCTGATATTTTCCAGCACCTAATATTTTGACAAGCCTCGCATGAAAAACATTTTTTTTCTTACCTGGATCATGGTGCTGAAGTATCAAACTGCCTCTGATGATGTGAATGAAAAAAGATGCCACCAGAACATCTCTGTGCTAATAGTCGTCGACAAGATGAGAAACGCAGGGCATCTCTTAGCGCCCAGCCTCCAGCAAGCACTTGTCGCCTTTTCTCATGCTCTGTCTGCGTGTGCGTTCTGGAGGCTCGCAAGATGCCAAAGCATTGCCGAATGTAGGAGGCTCCTCCCTGCAATTCTTGTTGTCCTACATTTAGTCCTCCAGGTCAGTACAAAAACATACAAGTCTATTCAACACCCGAACACGATTTGGGCGATATGTTAGATATAGTCCCTAACGGAATGAGAACGTCTGGGCGTGTCTTACAAATGCCCGGGCTTGAAGCATTGCCAAAAGTAGGAAGCTTCTCCCTACCGTCCTCATCTTGCGAGTTGCTACAGTTATTAAACCATTTTAAATCTGGCAATGCTACACCATACAATAACGGTTTTTCAAAAGCAATTTCTGGTTGATCTTATCAAAAACTTGCTATAAATCGAAATAAATATAGACTTGCTTGCAAGAAAGAAGAAATGGCACCGTGTATTCAAGTGTGCAGAAACTAATTTCTAAATCTGAGGATATGCATGCTTCAATGATGGGGCAAACAAAATCAGTGCTGTTCTTAACAATAAAAGAGGATAAATCTGGACCCAAAAACAGCCTAGCTTTAATTTCTTTATTGCTTTCAACATTTCGGTGTCAACTTCCTTGATTGCTGAAATGTTAGTCAATATTACTGAAAAAAAAAGATGTGCTTTTATTGACCAACGTGTGAACGTTGTAAAAACATTTTTAGCAAACAGCAAATCTCCAACAATATCTGGACCCGCTTGGCAATAGTAGAAATGTGTGTACATACGTTCTTAGATCTAGGTCAGTTGACAAGCTTCGGAAAACGCCCGACGCCTTTTTGCGGCGCATCCGCTTAATGGCACCTGCTACACGATCGGCCCGTCATACGGACAGATCCGGTGAAACGTTGGATGCACATTACCTGCGGCGGAAAGTGACTTTATTATAATAACACAATACCTTACAATAAACAAGGTCTTCACAATACTTAATGCAAAAAGAGCGTCGTTCAAAAAATGTTCTCTGTTGATCATGGAGGCATTGACGCTGTGGCGCTAGGAATGTTATCTACCTATACCTGCTAGCGTGCCAGCAACAGAGAACTGTTTTCGAACGCTGCTTTTCTGTGGAGCTTGTCAACTGATAGATCTAAGAATATTGGCATGTAGGGCCTGAGTGGAGGCACCTATTTTCTCAAGCACCAGTTTAGAAACTTCTTATTGAATCCTTTCAAAAAGACACACAGTTTAGAGAAAATGGCAACAACCCTATTGGAAAAACGTACAAGAAACAAACCTGCTGCTTGTACAGTTCTGGTATGACACCATCATAATTTCTTTGTGTTACGCATGCAGCTAGTTTGGTTTGGTGTTCTGCATATCTGGAGATACCGGCACCGCTATGGCTCCGGGTCTGTCTATACTGGCAGCCACTTTGCTTGCCGATATGATTCGGTGTGGCTGGTATGATTTTGCGTCCGATGACGTAGGCGACTGCCGTCTTTCCAACAAAACGCTTATACCACAGGACCACCGGTATAACCAAACCATACATGCAGAAAGACGACCGCCATCTTCCAACAAAAACGTCCATCGTTCACCACCGCTATCGTTACATACACCATACATGTCGAAAAAGAACATAAGCCACGTTTACACGAATGCGACTTAGTCGTATTGATTCCAGTTGCCGCATTCAATATGCGGTCATGTAAACGGCATAATGCGCAAAGCGCATCGCATTTTGGAACGGGGAGGATTATCGGAAGGCGCTCGCTACGGGAGCGAGTGAACAGCTGAGAACATGGCGGCGGCCAACCTCGTCGGCGGCGCGGAGAGCGGTTCCGCAATTTTTTTCCCGAGAACGCAAGCTTTTATTGCGATCATAAGTAAGCGGAATATAGCGGAGCTGCTCGGTGAGGGCGGCCCCGTCCAAACCTTTGCGAAGTACGACTTG